GAAGACCAGCTGAGGCGAAGCAGCACACAGGAAGAGTGCAGCCAGTGAACATCAACCTGCATCCCGCCGGCTCCCGATTGCCTCTTTCATTACCGTAAGTAAACATTTCAGCTCCTCTCTCTGTCTTTCATGCTGCAGAGGCACAGAAATTTCCAAGGGTGACATAGGTTTTAATACCACACCAAAGCTAGTAGTGGTTCAGATCGAGAAAGAAAGGTCAAAAATGACTTGTAAAAAGCACAAGCCTGTATTGAGTGTGGCATTAGTTAATAATTAATAGTTGATGATATTCGATTTGCAAACATTTATTTTAGACATGTTATAAAGGAAAAAAAAAAGCAAAACAGTACTTAAAGAATTAAGAACCTGTCTCTGTGCTTCAGGAATTATGTTCTAAGATTCTGAATAAAACTGCAATTAATGCAATTTTCTTTCCAGCAGCATCTGAAAGGAATGTTTTCAGAAGTGCTTTGCTAAAAAATAATCTGATGTTCTGCATCGCATTTTTAAAAGAAGATGCTGGAAAGTATTTACATGATGAAAAAAAACACGTCATGTAATAAAACTGATGAAGTGAGTTAGCAGCCAAATGCCTGATCATATTGCAGGTATGTAAACCTGCTGCTTAGCTGATGATTTCCTCCAAAGGAATTTACAGTTTCATACATTTACTTTAGCTGAGTCTTTTACTACACTGGTTCAGGTTAGGCACCTTGGTCAAAAGTCCCTCCTGGGACTCGAACTGTCACATTCATGTTCTTATACACTAGACTGATGTTCCCCAACCCACTCCACAGTCCACCAGGAGCTGGGAGGGAGCAAAAATGTGGACTGTCTGGCAGGGCACTGCAAGGGAGCAAAAATGTGGACTGTCTGGCAGGGCACTGCAAGGGAGCAAAAATGTGGACNAGGGAGCAAAAATGTGGACTGTCTGGCAGGGCACTGCAAGGGAGCAAAAATGTGGACTGTCTGGCAGGGCACTGCAAGGGAGCAAAAATGTGGACTGCCTGGACTGTACCGATATCTGAATGAGGGGCTGCAAGCTTTCACACTGAGTGTGCTACAGCAGTGTCTCCCAGCAGGGTCCTGACTCACAGACAGTGAACATTTCAGCTCCCTCTCAGCTCCCTGCCAGACAGTCCACATTTTTTCAAAAACATGGACTGACTGTGAGTCCCTAAGGACCAGGTCGGGAAATGCTGCCCTAGAGGAATTGGGTGTTGAGTATCTTGCTCAAGGGCTCAACAGTGACTCCACTTGGCCGACCCAGAGATTCAAACTAACAACCCCCCCACTCACAGACACAGCATCCAAACCCACTGCGCCACACCACCCTGTTTCATCGTCCACAGTCATTATACAAATCTGTGTTTTCTTGTACAAACCTTACAGTTTTTCTTACTCTTCTTTTGTAATGCAACATGACTGAGATTGTAGCCTATTTCCTGATCATGTTCATGCTGGAGCCTCTCGTTTTCATTTCTGCCCCCGTCACTCTCACCCCCAGGTAAAGAGTCTCTTCCTTGCACCCCAACCCTCTCTCTCACCGGTCTGTTCACTGGGCTGCCAAGACCAGGTAAAACAGGGATATTTTCGAGCACATCAAGCAGCGTTCTGATTTAGTTTAATTGATGACTTTATTAATTTAGCCAATTCACAGTACAGAAGACGGAGGCTTTTATAAGGACACGCAGGAAAAAATGGTTAATTTCAGCTAATATTTAATAACTGCATCAAGATTTCTGGGAGGAATTTTTGAGAAGATAATATAAGAATAAAAAAAAAAACATGAAAATAGAATTGAAGGATGGTGAGGTGTATATTAAACAGTCACACGTCATTCTTCTCCAATTTCGCACCCTCAGGCCTAAGCCCTGAAGCAGGTGTGTGATTGAGAGAGAGAGAGGCTGCAAGGGCTCAAAATGGTATAAATAGGAATGGGACAGTATGTTGCGACATATCACGTTACTTTGATGATGCCAAAGCAGGTTCCTTACTATAGTGGAGTTGGGAGCTTAAATTTTAAGATTTGCACTTGGACAAGAGGGAACTGTCAAATAATCAATTTTCTCTTTATCAGAACAGCATTACAGTGATCCCACGGCTATTGCGGAAGTTACGTTCCAGGGTTACTGGCTTATTGGGGTAACTTGTCGGATTTAAGGTACCACAGTTCAAATGGACTTCATATTCGTTCCCTTACATTTTGCCCAGACTACCTTAAATCCAACAAGTTATCCCGATAAGCCAGTAACCCTGCTTCCTAGTACAGGGGGCCGGTGCTTTCCCGGTCAATACAAACAAACAAGCATGTGGTTTAGCTTAATTTACTGTCACTAAATTGCCCTTAGCGTGTGAGTGTGATGGTAACACGTCCCATGAAGACTGCTCCGAGTCTGGACTGACTCCAGGTTCAGCACGACCCGCCGAGCGCGCGCACCGGGTTTGGGCGTTTCCTTGGTAACTG